ACTTCTCATATCATTTAGATTATCTGCCTGATCCCTGAAGTTATTATGACTTTGCCTCATCTGCAATTACCTACCACTTTTCTTCCTTCACTGGAAGTCTCTACTAATATGATCTTACTGGATCATGTTTGAGTCTCAATAATTCTGAAATTACCTATTTTTAGAACTTAACTCTAAGGTTTAATTATTAACTTAACTACCACACAGCTATAGGTGTGAAAAATGGCCAAACATTATTCTATACCATGTGATTGCTTATAACTACTCGATTACCACTGCTATAATAATTTAAGAGAGAAATGGGGTACACATTACAGGCTAAGAATGCCAATTCATTAATAGCATGTTTCAAAAAATCTGCAATATGACAGGATGAACAATTTGTTAAGAAATTTCATAGGAATGCCTCAATATTGGGGGACAATAATCGCCAATGCAACAACAATTTCTTTTTAGTTTTATCCTTCCTGTTAATATTACTATATATAAAACTCAAAACTGTTCTTAAGTACATATGTTAGAATAAAATGCCATTAAACACTAGAGAGTTCCTGACAATCTTCCTCAACTCTTTACGTTTGTACACAAAATCTGTTCTTATATATTATACTATAAAATCGTCAAACTCTTACTATCCATGTCACCCAAAAAGAATGAGGAAGTGAAAATATTTCTGATGGCAGTACTCACATTCCTGCTTAAAGGTAAAATATTCAGTAAGGTGTCTGCATTCATGATTGCCTCTCAGAAGAAATAATGTGCTTGGGTATAGTATCTTCAGGACCCATAAATATAAGACACACTGCAAAAGAAAATGTTTCCAGTGAATTTATCTTATATCTGTGTTTAACTTAGTTGCTTGATCATTGTTCCTTTTCCTCTAACCCTATTACACTTACATTCTCTATTACTCATTATCTTTTTCTTTGTTCCTAACTAAAATGTAAACTCCTAGAAAAGTACCTAGCCAACAGAAAAAGATCAATAAATATTTGCTGAATGAATGAGTCAATCTATTTAACTACTTTAGATTTACAAATTGTTTGCTGTAAAAACAATTAGCAGGTTGGTCTCTTTCTTAGGTAGATCAACAAATAATAATGTAAAAAATTATAGCAGCTAACATTTATTGAGTACTTACGATGTATCAAGCACTGTAAAATTAATCCTGCCCACTTATTTCTCTAACCCTATGATGTAATATTTTTCTATTTTACAACTGAGGAAACTAAAGCAGAGTTTAAGTAACTTGTCCAAAATCATGAAACTTGTAAGTAATGGAGATAGAATTCTGATCCTCTGATGTTAAGCATTAGGCCATGCTACCTAATGAAGGAAATAGCCATGTTTATGTTTATTTTGTAATAAACGAATATATTCTCTAAATAGATTTAACATAAGAAACAGAGTCACATTTTACTTATTTGGTTAAAAAAATAAGGAAGGACTATTTACTATGGAAATAATCTTGGTTTATATTACATATATAAAAAGAAAAAACACTTTATTTTTAACAAGTTAAGGTCTACTGAAATATGTAACTATTCACACCTTCATTTTATTCACAAGAAAAGAATTAAACCAGAAAAATACTTATTAAAAAAATAGTTATTAAAGAATTACCTGTCCTTCTTGCATATTTTGATTCTGTTATTTTCCTTTTATAACAATAAAATGTATTAAGAGTCAGCTACAAGGGCATACACACCACCATGTTCAGTTACCAACTAAGTTTCCTAAAAATGTTTATTGTTTTTGTCAAAGCCCCCAGTCTTTTTGTTAAAGACTATTATCTGTTTTTCTTGAAGCCTTGAGGGAAGATTGAGGGGGCTGATGATGAAACTCTGAATGGGAGGAAGTACTCAGGATAATAAAGTTCCTAAGCAAATTTCAGTGGACAGAGTGCTGAACTCCCTTGGCCACTAGGTATCCTAGCATACTTCAGGGAGGTTGACAAAAAAACTGAAGAAAGGGATATAAACAATGGTAATCAGCATGGAAAGTCACCAGGTTAAGCCTTCAATATTTACCAGGAGAGGTGGGTTAAGAGCATAGGCTTGGAGTCAGATAGCCTGACTGCAGCTATTACTAACAATGTGACCTTGGGCAAGTTTACTTAACCTTTCCAAGCCTGCAATTCCTCATCTCTAAAGTGGATAAAATAGCAGTACTCACCTCATAACACTGTTGTGAGGATGAAATTAATCAATGTGTGTTAAGTCCTTAGAACATGCTTGGAACATATAAAATGCTCAACACAAGTATCTATTGGTAGACCTTTTATCCAGCAACTTTACCTTTAGGAATCTGTCCTACAGAAATAATTGGGCAAGTATGCAAAGATGCATAAATAACTTGGCTTAATGAAGCATCATTTGTAATGGAAAAAAACTGCAGAACACCTTAAGTATCTAACAATAAGGAGTTTATTAAATCTATTGTGGTTTGTTTATTCAATGGGATACAATGCAGCTATTAAAAATGATGCTGTATAGAACAGACTGTCAAATCTCAGAGGGAAGGTGGGGGTGAGTGGATGGGAAGAGATCAACAAAAGAACTTGTATTACATATGCATAACCCATGGACATAGACAATAGGGTGGTGAAGGCCTGGTGGGGTGGGGGGGGGGGCAATGGGGCAGACTAGAAGGGGCCAATGGGAGAAAAAAGGGGACATATGTAATACTTTCAACAATAAAGACTTAAATTTTTAAGAAAAGAAAAAATGATGCTTTAAATTTATATTTACTGACTTGGAATACTTCGCAGTATAAGGGTGTGTGAAAAAAAGCTAGTTACAGAAAAATATTATAATATAGTCTCATTTTCATTCAAAAAAGGAGAGTATATAAATGTCAAATTATATTATATGCCCGAAATGTAATCTTACAAATTTTAAAAAAATTTTAAAAAGGAGATATATTAGAAAATACATATTGTTCTATTTTAACCTGATTTTATTTATATAATTTTTATTTATATAATTAGAAAAGTAAAAGTAGAAAAAGAATCATCTACCATTAAGTGATAATCAACAGGTCATTTTAATGCCTCTTAAGTTTTTAAAAACAAATGAATAATTTCAGAATACACAGGATTCCATATGATATACTAGGGGTCTTAAGAGCTACAGAAGGAGGAATAGAAAGTACTAGGGTTTAAGCAATAAATGCATTATAATGTGCTTTATTTAATCAGAGAAAATTCAATTACTCTTCTTTCACACAGGTTAATACCTTTAGGGCTAAGAGAGAGAAATAGCACTAACTCCTTAGGGCTACTAGATAATAGGGCAATATAGACCGCCCAGTTTGCTTATAATTTCCACTGAGAAAAATGGCAATTATATAAACAGAGTAATACAGGGAAATTAATAGATTATTTTGAATAACAGAAGAGGAATAAATAGTAGCTTTACCTAAAAACATCAGAAAATACTGAGGTATTAAAAAGAACCCAACACAGGTACTTTAAGAAACTTATTTTACTAGGAATTAATGAAAATCATCTATGATAACACTTAAAAGCAAATCAAATGACAGTACATGATTATTACCTCTATACTAAAATAACCTCTGTCCACATAATCACCAAGAAAAAGGTATCGTGTATTAGCTGGTGATCCTCCTACTTCAAAGAGTTTCATCAGATCAAAAAATTGGCCGTGGATGTCACCACACACTGAAACAAGAAGATTATTAGATATGAAAAAAACAACACACTCTGAAATAACAAATTTTACTTAAATTCTAATTTATTTTACATAAGGGATAGTATAAATTCTATCAAGAAATGTCTGAGAAGGCAGTCATCTGTGAAGAATCATGATAGGGATGCTGTGTACCCAAGTGTTCATGTGCTCAAGATACAGAACAAGATGTAACAAAAGTAATAAAACTTGAAGCCAGCAACAAAATTTTCATCTATATTTTATAATGCTTCTCTTTAGAAAACCAACCATGTGTGTCTTAGGATGACAAAATTATAATGATGGCAGTAAAAACGCCAATCTAACTCAGTACTTTCTGTATACTTCTAAGTAATTATCTTTGATATCTGATATGATATTTAGGTATTTGTCCCTAATGACAGAAAGCAAAGTAATTAAGTATTTATTGAATCAAACTGAATTATGGCCAACACAACCAATGAAACCTTCAAAATAGCTTATTAGACTAACTTCTGCACTCAGATTATTTAGGATCATATTTATTCACTGAAAATAGGGGAAAACTTTAAAAAATCATGTAAATTTCAAGATAATGTCCATGTAATATTAATTTAGTATATGCTATGATTAAAAAGGAGACAGCTCTATATCGAGGCAATTAAATAATGGTGTGATAAAAAAATATCCAAAACATAAATAAATGTACCTGTAATTGGAGCCTCTACTTCTATCATGGTTTTTTCTCTCCGAAGGATGGCAGCACCCTCATTGATAATTCTAAGTGCAATTTCTTCATCTACTCGACCTTCTTTTACTAAGTGGTTCTTCAGAACATCAACCCTAGGTATCCCATCCATATCAAATACTTCTTCAGATGTCAAGCGATGTGTTGGGGGGAAAGGGACAGCTGCAATTTTATTTTAATTAAGAAAAAATAAATCACTATATAGTATATTAATATAAAACTAATAAATAGATCTAGGTAAATAAGAGTAAAAAATAAAAAGGTGGTTTTTGTTCTTCATTTATTGGATAGAAGTCTTAATTTTTTAAAAGCCTTTAAAAAAAAAGCAAAGTATACTTCTTTTTATTAATCAGTATATAACATTTTGTTTGTTGAGAATTATTAGAGAAATGAATTGTCTCACAAAATTAAAGTTTTTTCAGGATAACCAGAGCTTTTTTCTTTAAGATAAAACATTTTTTGGCAGAACTCTCAAAACATATCATACACTTTTCACCTCATATGAAGTACAATAAATATAACTTAATACTACATAAGCCTGAATAGACAGAAATCCCAAATATAAGGTGATCCACCATGGTCCTAATAAGAATATAAAAAACATTGTTTTCTGGCCAACTTGAATAGAAACTTTTAGGGATATAGATAAAACAGCCAAATGCTTTCTTATGAAATTTAAATTAATTTAGATGCATGCATAGATTTCAAACATTAATAAATCATAACAATTTTGAAATACTGCTTTTCTCCTACCTTCATGTTTCACAAAACACCCATTTGAAATAGTTATACACACCTTCAACACCAGTATATTCCTTATCATTGAGTCATTTTTTAAGTCATCTAATACTTTTTAAAAGCAAATTATCTTCACTTCCATTTAAGTTGTTTGAGAAAAAGCACTTTTTGAATATATGTAAAAAGTGATCATTGAAAATTTATCCTAAGCTACAGTCTTAACTACTGAAATAATTGGCCTTTTTACTCCTGTAGTACATATATATATAGTTTACACAAGTAATCACCAACTATACTGTTTTAAACTGATATTTTTTAAATGGAACAGAAAACAGGAAGGTATATTTTCAATGGTATCTAGCACAATTTGAAGTCATATATATAGCAAAAATTACTATATATCTGTTAAGTTTATTTGATTCATTTTTCACTGAATCCAACAAGTGAGTTCTTTATGCATTCAAGATCACTGAAGTTGTTTTAGGCTCTTTATCAAATACTACTTTGTTTTTCAAAATAAAGAGAAATTTATAGTAAGAGTCTACATACAGACTCAAATGTAAGGCAGCTCCCTCTTTTCTAAATTAAAACTTTTTTGGGGAAAAAAACTCATATGCCTATACAGTTTATAGTATTTTCTTAATGTTTCATTGTGATTAGCAATTACTATATAGAAGACTGGAAATATAAAGGAACAACTGCTTCTTCATATTTCATAACTTGGAGTAACTAAAGAAGGGGGCTGGGCTAGAATTACATTAATTATGGAAGGAAGAATAATAAATAAGCACGTTCTCATACAAGGGAAAAAAAGAACTCGATCCTTTAAAAGTGCAGATGAGGAAAAAAATTTTAGGAAAAACTCAATCCCTTAGAAGTGAGATAAGAACTGATGTAGAGGGATTGTCAACCACTTCTAAAAGATTCTGAAATCACCAATCCCTCTTGCTTTCTTCTTCTTTGTTTTGACACTTAGTAAAACAAAACTTGAACTTGCTTTTTTCCCCTTGATTAGAATACATTTATTCCCATTTCTTTTTACTACCTGAAACAGGCATTGAATACATTTAATTCCCTCAAATATGCTATTTCTAGATTCTAGTAAAATAAAAACCTTTGTTAAAATATGTTTTTCTCCAACTAAAGATTAAAAAGCCCAGCTGGTGTGGCTCCGTGGTTGAGCACTGACCTATGAACCAGGAGGTCATTGGTTCCATTCCCGGTCAGGGCACAAGCCCAGGGTTTCAGGCTCAATCCCCACAGGGGGGTGCAGAGGCAGCCGATCAATGATTCTCATTGTTAATGTTTCTCTCTCTCTCTCCCTCTCCCTGATATCAATAAAAACATATTAAAAAAAATTACACAAACTATTATATACTAGTGGCCCGGTGCACGAAATTCGTGCACATTAAAAGGGAATAATTAGAGGAAATGTTTTAAAATTGCTATTTGCCCTTTCTCTATAATAGAAATGTCAGAGATGAAAGAAAATTAGTAAAATGTATATGAAAATCTTCCACCTGTCAGAGTCTGGGGCACGCCGTGGGACCCAGAGTCAAGCCCCCGCCCACCCGCGTGCACCTCGAAATCACGCGAGACCCAGACCTGTCAAGCCCCTGTCAAGCCCCGCTGGGCTGGGCGGAGGTGCGCAGCCTCAGGTCCCCAGGCCCAGCGCTGGGCAGGGGGTGCAGCCTCAGGTCCCCCGTCAAGCCCCGCCGGGTGGGGGGCGCAGCCTGAGGTCCCCCAGCCCGGCGCCAGGGTGAGGGGCGCGGCCTCAGGTCCCCCAGCCCTGGGCAGGGGGCGCAGCCTGAGGTCCCCCAGCCCGGCGCCGGGCATGGGGTGCGGCCTGAGGTCTCCCGGCCTGGCGCTGGGGCGTGGGGCATGGCCTGAGGTCCCCCTTCATGCCCTGCTGGGCAGGGGCACAGCCTGAGGTCCCCCGTTAAGCCCCGCTGGGCCGAGGGCGCAACCTCAGGTCCCCCAGCCCGGCACCAGGGCGGGGAGTGCGGCCTGAGGTTCCCCGGCCCGGCGCCACACAGCCTCAGGTCCCTACTGATCGCTTGTTATAGCTCGTTATGGGAATCCCGCCTCCGATGTGGGTACGGCCATCTTGTATTACGGGAACCCTGCCTCCGCTGTGGTCACAGCCATCTTGTGTTACGGGAACCCTGACTCTGCTGCGAGCACAGCCATCTTGTGACGGCATGATGGAGTGAGGGTCAATTTGCATATTACCTCTTTATTATATAGGATGATATAACCAAATTTGCCTTCATCAGTAAACCAACTGTTTAAAAGCTACAGAAATTAACAATTGATTACTCAATAAATCAAAAGTTACTTTGGGGACACAAAAATGAGAAGTTTAAATATTTCTTAAATATAAATTTCTGAGATCAAGATAAGATCATATTTTTCTCATTAGGCCAAGAGAATTTCTTAATCACTTTACTTAGGAAAACAGGCACTGTTTAAGAGGCTGCATTCTAGATTATGTATACTTCATAATAATCAACAATTCCACTAATAAATGAATTCTGTCAAAATATAGAACTTCTAAAAATCTATCTGGTGCCCTGACCGGTTTGGCTCGGTGGATAGAGCGTCAGCCTGCAGACTGAAGGGTCCCGGGTTCGATTCTGGTCAAGGGCATGTACCTTGGTTGCGGTCACATCCCCAGTAGGGGGTGTGCAGGAGGCAGCTGATCAATGTTTCTCTCCCATTGATGTTTCTAACTCTCTATCCCTCTCCCTTCCTCTCTGTAAAAATCAATAAAATATATATATATATATATATATAAAAATCTATCTGGTAGCCCCCACCCATCTTGTTCCAGTCAGCCAGTCATCAGTTGGCACTGCATGTTTTCATGCATGTTGTCAAAGTCACACTGAGGTATTACCCCCTCTTTAACCAAGAGCCAAAATGTCTTTATTTATGGGGTGGGGGGTGCGGGAGTGGAGGATAAACTGCCTCCATGCTCATCAGTAAGTTATCTATAGACCTATGCTTTTTCACTTCTTTTTCAACTCAAGGCACACTTTTACATTTCAGGACCAGCAGGGATACCTTTTATTTATTTGCTAGAGGCCGAATTTCGTGCACGGGGGGAGGGGGTCCCTCAGCCTGGCCTGCACCCTCTCGCAATCTGGGACCACTGACTCCTAACTGCTCGCCTGCCTGCCTGCCTGCCTGATCACTCCCAACACCTCTGTCTGCCTGCCTCATTGCCCCTAACACCTCTGCCTGACTACCTGACTGCCCCTAACCACTTTCCCCTGCTGGCCTGATCGCCCCTAACCGCTCTCCCCTGCCGGCCTGATTGCCCTTAACCACTCTGCCTACCTGCCTGATCGCCCCTAACCACCTCTGCCTTGGCCCCCACCACCAGGGCTTTGTCCGGAAGGACGTCTGGAAGAAGTCTGGTCTATCTGGTCTAAATAGCATATTACCCTTTTATTAGTATAGATTTTTTTAAGTCCTCAACTGAGGATATTTTTTCCATTGATTTTTTTAGAGAGTGGAGGGGGAGAGAGAGAGAAACATAGATGTGGGAGAGACACAAGGAGTGGCTGCCTGGGCTGGGGATTGAGCCCTGCAACCAGGTACGTGCCCTTGACTGGGAATAGAACCCACAGCCCTTCAGTCTGCAGGCCAAAGCTCTATCCACTGAGAAAACCAGGCCAGGGCTGGAATACTTTTAAGGAATCGGTACAAGTTAAGGAGTGAAGAAATGCCACCCTAGATAAAAGTTAGGTAAAAATTATGGAAGATCAGTGTTGTTCTAACAACACAAACTGAAAGTGGAGAACAGGGAGTTTCAAAATAATATGTTTTAATATATCAGTACATAAGAAAATCAGAGGAAAAAGGCCTGTGCTCTTTGGCAGGTAGGAAAGGAGCTTTAGCAAGTGGTCTAATCAGGCAAAAGAAAACTTACCAAATAGAATTTGGCCTAATAAGGTATTAATTATTGACCCTATTGGTCAATAGAGGGTTCAATATTTTTCATCAAAAATTAATATTATCACCCTAGCTGGGTAATTCAGTTCGTTAGAGCATTATCCCAATACGCTAAGGTTTCAAGTTTGATCCCTCGGTAGGGCACATAAAGAATCAACCAATGAATACATAAGTAAAACAACAAATCGATGTTTCACGCGCTCTTTCTCTCTAAAATCAATCAATAAAAATATTTTAAAAATTAATATTCTCAAATTACTTTGTTTGGCAACTTCTAATTTTAAAGCATTTCCATCTATTTTCAGGCTTTCAAGAGGTTTTTCTTTTTTATTTCTAATTCATCTTCAGTCCATTATTCCTGCTTTCCTAGGTTTTTCTTCCTATACATTTTTCTCCTTATTTTCAGACTATTTTTCCTGCTCTTCTATATTTGTGATAGGGAAAAACCAGAACATAAATG